AACAAATCTGTTGCTTTACCACACTACTTTAGGTAATTCAGTCACAGTAATAAACACATGTAAACATGTGGACTGCACTAATCACTGTCTGTTAACTTTAGACCATGCAGTGGTTCTCAAACTTTTGTGGTCGCGCGCCCCTTTAAACCTACATGGAAAAAAAAAAACACCTGCATCACTTGAAACATAAGTTTCATACAAATAAGTGTTATTTTTATTTTTGTTTCATGCTGTCCGCTAAGGCATAGGACACACACAGGCTTTCCTCCTCACCAACGACATTAAACACTGTGTCTACACCGGACGTGAGCGGCAAAATACAGTAGAACCCATTATAATCAGTGACGCTGTCTACACTGGATGCAGCGCGACATTAAACTGATGCCTTGTTCTATTTATAACGTACTGACACGAAGTTCAAATGATTTGCATCGGTCGCTTTGTCACGTCCAGTGTAGAGCTGTTAAATGACCAGCACCTGCCTGGGTCTGTGCGACTTCATCTATGGCTTTTCTCTTCGCTTTCACAAACCGATCCATCTCCCATTCTGAGTTACATCCTTTGGCTGTTTGCTGTTTTATTTCTTTTCTTTTTCTGCTGATGGCCCGTGCTAGACTTGAAGCAGCGCTGCTTAGACCGATGGGTGTGTGTTATCAAAGTACTGCGAGAGCTATAAGAGAGCTCGGATGTCTCCTTATGCTTTCTCTCGCTGTACTTTGATGTCATACAACCATTGATCTTCAAGTCGAACACACCTCTTTACTCTCGCGTGTCAAGTGACCGTGTAATCACAGCCTCTGCGATTGAAAAATCACTTTTTTCATATTGCGATATTATCGCAAATGCAATTAATCGTTCAGCCCTAGTTACACGTAGGAAATGCTTGTTACAAATGGACACACGGACAGGAAACATGTTAAACACACTGACACACGGACGTTATGAAACACACTTTACACATGGAAAACACATATAACACATTTCCCCTGTGTAATACATTTCTTGTGTGTAATCTATGGACACAAACGTTACACACACACAGAGAGAGAGACAGGTGTGTTACCGTGGTGAGGAAGAGCAGCTGGTTGCGGAGGCTGCTGAGCTGCTTGTGTAAGTACTGCAGTTCGTTCTCTCTCACACGCAGCAGCACCTGCCACACACACACGATCAACACAGAGATGAAGAAACAACACAGCAGGTGTCTGATTTCAAGTGAATATCCCTAAACTGATCAGGAGCAGCCAGGAGGATGATCACCTCACTTCCTGTCCTTCACGAACATGTGATCTTTTACATAATCAACGGATCAGTCCTGAAGAACATGTATACTCCGTGTTCTTTTATTCACACGTAGTGCTTGTTTTGTGTTTTTGACCGCACTCTGCTAATAGGGCCGTTTACTGACACAGATTTCACATTTGATTCAGAATCACAAGCTCTTGATTCAGTTTGATACTGATCTGTCTGTATGTGTGTGTGTGTGATGTACAGTGCATGTGACAGAAACACATTACATCACCTGTGTCTCACACCACGACCTCTCACTGCCGTCAGTCTCTCCGTCTGACCCTTGACCTGTGACCAGAGACCGAATGACCTTGACCTCCTCCGACAGACGCGCCTGGAGGTCCTACACACACACACACACATTAATACTCAGAGATGCAAACAGGTAAGGGGGAAATTGCTCATGCTTATTTGTACTTACTTTAAGGTATTATATGTCCTTATATGTCCAAAACAGTAATTTTTCACACACAAAAAATATATCAAGATTGAATATATTTGGTCAAAATACCAAGTTATAAAAGATGAAGTGCTATGCAGGCTATTTAAGACAATATTGGCTGATTAGACGGCAATGCAAAATGTAAAATGCAAAATAAATAATAATAATAAAACAGCATATTATTAATGGTATGAATAATATAGATTCTACCGATTCTCGTATTAGGCTGCTGGACTAGAACTACACTGTAATGCACAGATCAGTGCATTAATACACATGCAGTGCTTACATCTGATTGAGACCCAACCAACAGTGTGCATGTGAACCGTGGGTGTTAATATAAAGTGACGTACTGAAATATGTATTAGAAAACCCATGAAAGATTTATGCTATTTAAAAATTGACACTGTTTTTTGGACTCAGTGGCACCGTTATTTTATGTGCACAGTACATTCTGCCTTGATGGCATCAAATGGTTGCATCCAGGGACCCCTTTAAGCCTCTGTGAGCTCAGACTGGAGTTTTTGTTGGTGTTTTGGTTTTTTTAAGCGGTACCTGGTTGTCTCTCTTCAGTTGCTCCATCTGTGTGTCTTTCTGACTCACGAGTCGCTCCGCATCCAGACTGTGCTGCTGCGCTCGCTTCATCTCCACACACTTCTGAGAGTATTGCTCCGACAGAGATGCCAGCTCCCTCCGCAGAGACGCCAGCTCCACCCTGCGCACACACACATTATAACACACGCACACACTATAACACACACATTATAACACACACACACACACACACACACACACACATTATAACACACACACACACACTCACAGACATTATAACACACACACACTCACAGACACACACACAGAGATGAGCTCCAGACGCCACTCCTGCAGCGCACATAGGTGTGTTTGTGCTATAGTGTGTACTCACAGTTGCTGTTTGCCGAGCGTGTGTGAATCCGTCCCATGAATCTCTTTGAGTTGTGTGGTTTTCTCCAGCTCCTCTCTGTGTGCTTTCTGTAGCGCCTCCATCACTGACAACACAAACACACCGTGTTACACACATACATGTACATCTCTGCAGCACTACGGCTAACACTGATCACCACTGAACTGAACACACACTGGAGGAGTCCAGCGGAAAACACGCTCGTATTCATGCAAACCCCAAGATTTCTGTGGATGGAATCACGGAATCCAGTCATGAAGACAGAATTTACTCTATAACGTGCAACGTCACGGAATTTGTCACATTTTGGACTAATAAATCAAAAGGAGGTCAGTACACTTAAATCAAAACACATTATGGACTAGTGTATGTGAACCTACAGTTTAAATATGAATCCTGCATGTTCTGCGCATCTCTGTGAGAATGAATGACGCAGAATCGCGGTTTTGTTTACTAAGCGGTTATTTCAGCCTCTGCTGTTTCACTAGTGAGGACACAAACTACATTTTATAAATTCGGCCTTAGATGTTATAAATTCACTGTAAACCACGGCTTCTTGGGGCTTATTGCTTTATTAAAACATTATTTTTTAAAGGAATATTTACCAGAAAAATTATTTACCAGAATGCATTTCCAGAATTCAAAATGTAAATGCACAACAGTTTTTCTGAAAATAAATAAACAAATAAAATAACAGGCTAATAACTTATTAATAATTAATAATTTTTAAAAATAAAATCAGTTAACCAGAGAAAATTTCCCATTAAAACGAAATCCAGAAAATTAATGGAAAACAGAATTTGGCAAAAATAACTGAATTTGAGGGAAAGAATACGCATTTCAAAGGGCCTTGTCATTTTTGTTCAACCCTCAATAAATTGCAGGTAAATTGTGCAAGTTTAATGATTTCAATTAACTAAACATGCTTTATGATTGTTTGTTTTTTGTACATTTAAGCATAAAAACAGAGTCTAGAAAAATTAAAACGGACAGAAAACGGAATCCAGAACATGTGCAGAGAGTGAAGCTCCGCCCACTATAGAGCGAGCTCTGCAGTGATTGGTCAGTACCGCGCGCAGTGGCGTCGCTCTCCTCCTTCAGCAGCGCGTCTCGTTCCCGCTCCAGTGCGCTGATCTGCTGCGAGTGCTGCTTCTCCAGCTCCTCCAGCGCCTCCCTGTGTGCGCGCTCCATCTGCTGCAGCACCGCCCCGCAGCCAGACACCGCCCCCCTCCCCGGCCCAACCCCCCTCCCCGGCTCCGCCAGCTGCTGCCTCAGAGACGCCACCTGCAGGACACAGAGAGACAGGCGGAGGGTAAAGCCTTCTGCAGGAAGTGCAGGTGCACTGGGCAGGAAGTGTGAAGCACGCTCATGCACACACACACACACACACACACACACACAGAGAGAGAGCAGCACAAATGACTGTGAATAAACTCCTTTATAAAGCACATACAGTCATTTGTGCAGGTGAGTGTTAACCCTTATGACACATCGCCTGGGAACATAAGCTTATGAAATAGTCATAACTCAATAGCATTTCAACCATCATCCAAAAACCTTGTATCTGATAAATATTTGTGAATGTGTAAACTTTTCGCATTTTACTATGTTTTCACCATCACTTACTAACAACTTGTTTAATTAAAAAGATTAGAAGCTCTTTGAAATCTTCAAATAATACTTCAACGATATCTAAACCAATGTGATGCAAGAAAACATATATAATTAATCAACATTTATGATATATATCTGAATATATCATACATTTACACATGGACAAACACGGGAATAAAACATTTTTCCCGAATATCGGCATAATATCATGTCAATAATGTATTTTGATAGCCTTGACGCATTTTCAAAGATTGGTTCCCACCAAAAAGGTGCGTTTCTTAATTTTTCCGAATTTCCTCAGTTCAGAAATGCCCCGGATGCGTTCCATAATTATATATGGGTTAATGGGTCTCTCTGTGTTCTATTCAGTTCTCATAAAGGCATTCATGAGAGCAGATAGACTTTATTCACGCACTACCTCCCTCTCCAGCGCCTGATTGGCTGACGACCGCGAGCCCACCGGTGGGAGTGACCTCGTCTCTTTGAGCGGAAGCTGCTCAAACTCCGCCCACTTCCTCTCAATCTCCTCCTCTATTCGCCTCTGTTCCGACTGCTGGCCCGCCCCCTTCCGCGAAAGCACCGCCTCCCACTGGTTGTGGGCGTCGGCACGTGGCCGCTCCTCCTGCCATTGGCTGTGCTCTCTCACTTGTCCCTCCCCCGACTCTCTCTGATTGGTGGAGGCAGGGGTAGAAGGCGTGGCTAAGGGCGACAGCTCAACATAGTCGAATTTGCGGTGGGCGGGGTTTGCGGTGGTGGAGGTGGCCTCTGATTGGCTGCGGAGCCGGCGGGATGAGGAATGACGGGCATTTTCTTTATCGCTGCTGCAGTTGGGCAGCCTGAAACACATGCACAGATACAACACGTCAAGACGACTCACTAGTGTCTCATTAGCTTTGCAACTAACGACTAGTGTCAATTAACCTATTGATGAATCAAATCATGCTCATTGCTCTCCATCAAACTCAAGTCTACATAATCTATGCAACACATGGTTTAAAACATGAATAGTGCCAATAAGAAAAAACACTGACAGAATCACAACTGAAAATAAAATAACTAAGGTGTTTTAATACACTATAATAATTAAATCAATAAACAATATAATGTTAAATATAAAATGTGTATATATATATGTACTATACAATTTTTAAATGTTACAATTATAATTATACTAATTATTATTACAACAACAATGGTCATTATTTAAATGTATTATTTTATTAATTTATAAAAATGAATAAACGTTACTAACATACTAATACATTGTAAAGTATAAATAAGTGTTTAACAACAAAAATTATTGTTTCAATATTTTTATTTTGTTAAATTATAAAAATCAATAATATAAATATAAGTTTATATTAAATTATATCAAATTAAAAACATTGTATTTAATAATAATAATAACAACAATAAAACAATTTATTTTACAGAACAACAAAATTACAATATTAATATTTATGGCTGTCCTAATTTCTTTGCTTTCTAACATTAAGCAACAGAGCTTTTATTTTGTCGGGAAAACCACAGCGAGCCGTAATGCTTTGCTTTTGTTGATAACAAATTTAAACAATTCTCATTACGAATTTGGAAAGATGGTACAGATTGGCACATGCAGGTTTCCAAATGCATGATATTAAGTGTTGTTATTAGGTGATTTTGTGACTCACAGCACTGTGTGTGTGTGTGTGTGTGTGTGTGAGAGAGAGAGAGAGTGAGTGAGTGT